ACTCCGTAGCCAGCACTACACGGCATGCCACCTCGCAAACTCGACTCGGGGCAAACAAAACAGGGTCGCTATCATGGTGCTCAAGACCTACCCTATACACTTCACCAACACAGTTTCGGATCCATAGGGGAGATACCTCACCATTATGGGACACTTGGGCCCACTTTCACAACAATCTATGCCCCCACGGTCCCGAGCGCACAGTTCTGGATGTACTTACAGGCACATCTGAGCCTTTTCCCCTCCCATCATAAGATAGTAGGAGGAGACTTTAATGAGTACTGTCCCCAGCAATTGACAGAAAGAGGCTACCGTCGCCGTGGTCGCAACCCCCACCCATGGCGAAATCGGATAAACTGCTACAGTCTTTCCTGACACAAATGAATCTAGTAGACGCCTGGAGAAAACAACACCCTCTGACAGCAGACTTCAAATTCTTCTCCCACCCACACACCTCCTACTCTCGCATTGACATGTTCCTGACCTCCCCTTCCCTGATGCAGCAGGTCGACAAAATGGTGATCGGCCAAATTACATGGTCAGACCATGCAGACATCACAATTTCCATTACCATCCCTCACGCCACTAGACCATGGTCCTGGGGACTCAACCCAACACTCCTCCGTGTTCCACACATTAGAGAAACAATCCGCAACGCCATAGAGGACTATTTTACGACCAGTAAAGACTCAGTATCTTCGGAAAGCACTCTCTGGACCACCCACAAGGCGGTGATCAGAGGCAGTTTCATTCCAGCAGCTTCAGCCCACAAGAAACAGAAACTCGCACAATTAGAACTCCATCTTTCAGAGCGCCAACGAGTGGTACTCCTTCACACAAACAAAACAACCCCAGACCTCATGCAACAACTTCAGACACACAGAGAAGCCATCCACACATTCATGACCCAAGACTCCAAAAAAGCATTAATCTGGACAAAGCAAATGTTTTACGAGAAATTAAATAAGGCAGATTCCCTCCTAGCAAACAGACTGCGACGGAAAACACAGCACAAAGATAGACCAGATAGCAGCAGTTTTTAATCAATTCTATACTTCCCTGTATGACCATGACCCCCCATTCTAGACAAAACACAAAGGTCATAGAGGAGGCCATTAATCGTTTTCTAAACAACACGACTCTCCCACAACTCACAGACAAGGCTAGGGAAAGACTCGCAGCTGCTGTCACCACGGAAGAGATCGCGGACACTATCAAATCCCTTCAACACAATAAATGACCAAGACCGGATGGGTACTCAGGCCTCTACTAAAAAAACGTACCCGGCTATCCTGCTCCCACATCTCCAAGACCTATTCACATCCATTCTTAAAAGAGAACCACTGCCCCCTGACATGTTACAAGCTAACATCAGCTTAATACCGAAGACGAATAAAACCTTCCAAGACCCAGGACACTTCCGTCCCATCTCACTCCTTAATGTTGACATTAGATTGTTTACGAAACTCTTAGCAACCCAACCAAAACCGTTCCTCCCAAAACGGGTCCATCCGGATCAGGTGGGATTCATCCCCTATAGACAAGCATGCAGGGCCGGTGCAAGGATTTTTGCCGCCCTAGGCCAAAGGTTTTTTTGCCGCCCCCCCCCTCCCCATATGTCCTGCCCACCATGTGACATCACAATGCCCTGCCCATATGCTCTGCCATATGGGCCAACGCCAGTCTTCACAAAGTGTCTTTTATTTGAAAAGACAGTGTGTTTACATTAAAAAGCCTACAGGCACAGGCTATAGACACCAGAACCACTACATTATGCTGTAGTGCTGCTGGTGACTATAGTATCCATTTAATGTCAGGTAAATTAGAGATTAGTGCCACTAATAATATGTTGGATTGCCTACTTACCACCAGATGAGGACAAGAGGCTGATGATGGGTTCTGTCTGGCTCCACAGGTCTGGTGTAGAAGAGGCTCTCTGGAGACTGTTTTTAACAACAATTAATGAACAGGAAGCAGCTCCATTTTTTAGGGCCCCTTACACAGCTCAAGGTCTGGGCCCCCAGGGCTTGACCGTGAGTATGCCTACAATGCCCACCCATAAATCCACCTACATGGCCCACCCATGAGTTCTCTCACAGGAAGTGGAGTGTATGTGTGTAGGGGATGTTTTATGTGTTATTGTAGAGGATGCAATGTGTGTATAGGGATACCAATTTCTGTAAGGGATGTAGTGTGTTTATAGGGGATGCAGTGTGTGTTTTCATGTAAGGAATGTATTGTATGTTTCTGGGTGGGTGTGTGTGTGTGTAAGGGGTGCAAGGTGTGTTTCTGTGTATTTAATTGAATGCAGTGTGTGTCTGTAAGGGGTGCATTGATTGTGTAAGAGATGCATTTTGTTTCTGTGTGTAAGAGAATGAGTGATTGTGTGAACTTAAGGGATGCATTGTGTGTTTCAGGTGTGTCTGTGTGTGAGTAGGAATGCATTGTATGTTTCTGTGTGTGTGTGGGGGGATGCATTGTGTATGTGTGTAGTGTAAAAGAGAGGGTTTGAGGAGTAGGATAGGGACTGAGAGGGGAGCAGCTCTTTTATTTTTTAATTTTTTTCATAGTGCTCTCCCCTCCTGTCAATTATTGATTTCCTATTCCCTCCGTGTTCTCCCCTTCTGTCCCTTAGTGCTCTCCCTTGGCCCGCTGTAGTCCCCCTTTGGTGGTCTTCTCACTCGCCCCTCTCCCCCTTAGTGGTCCTCCATCCCTCCCCTTAGTGGTCCTCCCTCTCCCAAACCCCTTAGTAGACATTCCCCTCCTCCACCCAACCCCTTAGTGGTAATCTCCCCCCCTCAATGGTCATTATCCTCTTTCTCCCCCCTCCCCTTAGTGGTCCTTATCCTCCTCCCCTCTTCTTAGTGGTCCTCCCTACTCACCCCCCTTAGTGGTCCTCCCTCTCCCAAACCCCTTAGTGGACCTCCCCCTCCTCCCTCAGTGGTCCCTCCCCACCCCCCCTCCCCTGTGTTCCTTCACCCCCTTCTCCCCAGTGGTCCTTACTCCCCTTCTCCCCAGTGGTTCTTACTCCCCCCTTCCTCCACCAGTGGTCCTTACCTCTTCCCTCTCCTCCCCCAGTGGTCCTTACCCCCCCATCCCCCTGTGGTCCTTACGTAACCTATACTCCACCCCATAGGCATGACTGTTTATACCCAACACCCACCCTACCCCATTTCGAATACACAATGGCATGAGGCCGGGCTGCCCCCTCTCCTCCCTCCTCTTTGCCTTATCCCTAGAACCTCTCTTACAAAAGATACAATACGACCCCAGTATCAAAGGGATTAGAGTATGACAGGAAGAATACAAAATAGTGGCAATCACAGACGACCTACACCTCACCCAGACCGAACCCATGGCCTCACTACCCCCCCTTTTAGACGAGTATGCCAAATATCAGGATATAAGCTGAACCTGGACAACACAGAAGCAATGTCACTCCAAATTCCCCCCCCCCCCTCCAAATTATGCGTAACACTACAAAAGTAATACCCATTTCTCTTCCAGTCAGACTGCATCCACTACCTGGACATATACTTACCAGTAGACCTACAATCCACGTACCGATTGAATTACCTCCCGCTGCTGGAACAAGCTAATAAAGATCTGCAGTCCTGGCAAAAACTGTCTATCTCCTGGTTAGGCAGACTGGCCTCCGTGAAGATGAACCTGCTTCCTCGATTCCTATATACTTGTTTCAAACCCTCCCCATACCTATTTTCAAGACTGACTTTAAATCCCTCCAAACACAGATAGATACATTTATCTGGGCATAAAAGAGAACCAGGATAAAACGAATCACATTGTATATCCCACACCAAAAAGGAGGCCTCAGTGTACCAAACTTCTGGTCCTACCAGCAGGCAGCCCAACTAGCGCAAATACAAACCCTCCATGCCCCAGCAGGGGTCAAGTTATGGGTGGATCTAGAACACAACCTATTCGGTAAGGACTTCCCCTCACTGTCCCGAAACAGAATAGACCCAGGACGCCCCCAACCACACAAGCCCTGACGACATCCATACAAATATGGGACAGGACGACACGCAAATACGAGATCATTTATGCACCCTCCCCCCTAACCTCAATACTGAGGAATGCTCAATTCACCCCGGGCATGACACCCCAACACTATGCCCGCTTCGAAAATAACGGCCTCATTCAGATCTGCCACTTCTTTCGAAATTGTCAACTTCTCCCCTTCTCTGATCTGCCACAAAATACCCCCTTCAACACTTTCGACCACTTCCGCTATCTCCAACTCCGCAGTTTCTTGTCCACCCCAAACATCACAGTAGCCGCAATGGCGCAGCTCACGGTATTAGAGAAAATGTGTCTACAAACTCCCATACATAAAGGTCAAATTTCCATCCTATACAACATTCTGACACTAAACACCCCCTTGGAGACCTTCTCATATGTGGCTGCCTGGGAGAAAGATCTGGGCCACCGGGACAGGGGGGACATTTGGGAAGCCACAGCATCGATAACAATATGTGTCAATCACAGGCATATAAAACCTTGCTCCGCTGGTACCTTACCCCCCTGAGACTCAAACAAATGCGACGATCAGAGTCTGACCGCTGCCAGAAGGGCTGTGGAGAGAAGGGAACATACATCCATATGTGGCTGAAATGTAACCACATATCCCAACTATGGAGTGAGGTTGCCAGTCTTCCCTCCAGAGCACTACAACTAGACCTTCCACTAGATCCATGGATCTGGTTACTATCTAAACCCAGTGAGGAACTGACCACAGCACAAAATAAATTGAAAGTGGCGCTGGTAACGCGGAGAACGAAAGCCACTCATTGGGGCAGCGTGGAGACCACGGGAGGTATGAAAAAAAAAATCAGAGAATCCATGGAAATGGACGAATTTTCCGCACTCATTCACAAGAACACCAGATCCTTCCACATAATCTGGGACCCACGGGGCACTGCATAGAATTTAAGGCCTTGGCGGGCGCCGGGGGGGGGGGGTGAGTGCGGCTTGAGTATCCACCGCACACCCCAAATTCCAAGGGTGTAACACACTCACAACATGAAACGACACACAGCCGAACGACAGGGCGCACTGGACTAAATCCTCCTCTAAACGAGACAACACATAACACTGTCTCAGGGTTTGCGCCCTACATCCCTTTTGATGAGAGGGAGGCTGAACAGCAGGCACAAGAATATAAGAATAAAGACAGACTGGTAGGGAAATTCCCACTTAATTAGCTGCACACGGCCCCCACCGCTGGAAGGAAACCTAACAATTGATCATACAAGGAGACAATGACAGGGAACCCCTGACGAATCACGTATGACTGCTAAAAATGTACCATGGTCCTCAAGACAAGTTACCACAAGCTGCCTCACACGGGTATTGCTCTATTGCCTACCACACAAACCCCTCCACACCACCTTCTATAACCCCCTACAGAGCTTTTGACATTTGCTTCTCTAAGATTATTGTTGATGTCCTTCCACTGCTTCATAGTTCTGCTGCACATATCCCCATTGAAGGCACTTTTGCCAGTGGACAGGGGTTATTATGCACACTCTGACCGTTTATGCACAGTAAATCTTTCTATAATGGCATTAAGTTTACAGCAATTTGAGCTACAGTAGCTCTTCTGTGTGATCGGACCAGATGGGCTAGCCTTCGCTCCCCACTTGCATCAATGAGCCTTGGGTGCCCATGACCCTGACTAAGGCTTACCGGTTGTCCTTCTTTGCACCACTTTTGGTAGGTACTAACCACTGCATACCAAGAACATCACACAAGACTTTGCCGCCTAGCCATCACTATTTGGCCCTTGTCAAAGTCCACTCAGATCTTTTCACTTTTTTCCTGCTTCCAACCAGGGCTGCCATTTAAAATCTTGGGGGTCTATGACAAAGCTCAAGGTCTGGGTTCCTGGGGGAGTACCCGCGAGTCCACCTGCGGGGCCCATCCCTGAATCAGACCATTCCTGAATCCACCTACAAGGATGCAGTGTGTGTGTAGAGTGGATGCAGAATGTGTGTTTGTAGTGAATGCAGTGTGTATGTGTAGTACATGCAATGTAAGTGTTTGTGTAGTGTGTATAAAGTGGGCAAAACGTGGATCCCCATCTGTCTTACAAGTCCCAGAATGCTACATGGACCTCAAGTCCATATATTCAACTGGCTGCTGGTCTCTGACACGGTGGTCTAGGAAGGACAAAAAAGAGCCTAGAGGGAGAAAGAGTGTGGATAATGTTTCTAAAAAGAGTCACACAAGTGAGAACATTCAGATTATTATGTAGTTGATGTTTAATTAAAACATGCCTAATCCCTGTGTGCAGTTGTTTAATGATTGCAAGTCCAAATCTTTTTTTTATTTATACAAAAACCATGCTCAGGATCCTTTAAATATACATACATGTATATAAACATCAAACACTTATGCTACAGGACTCTGTTGGCATTCATTACAAAAGAATGTCTCACAACCATCTATAACACTTTAAAGTTTGATAAATGTGATTGGCAGAGGAACAGTGTCAGCTGATCATGGAGGCCTCCCTTTTGGTTCTGGGTTCCTCTCTAGCATCGAATGCCCCACCACACCAGGAGCACAAACCCAATGTGGTTTTTGAGGTTAGGCAGCAGCGCATGCTGCTGGCACCAGAATGCTGCAAAGATGCTATCCAGCCTGGATATACTGTATATGGCAGGTAGCTGTGCGCTTGGGATACACATGACAGCCACCATTTTAGGTGGTGAAACCCTCATATTCATACTTCTAGGCTGGTGGGAGCTGGTATGCCCCTTAAGGGGCGGATCTCACCAGCTTTGGTAAAGTGTTAGTAATATACTGATCAAGATTATTGAGTAGAAAGTCCCTTTTTGGACTTTTATTAGCCATTTACAATATTATTTCAGGTTTTTGCTTTATTCTGCCAAATGCAAGCAAGTATATAACTAGTCAATAAAAGCACAGAAAGAAACAAGATGCCACAATGTCATTGAAGGCCAAGCCTCAACATATATCAAAATTAAAAAGAGTTTGAGAAATGTATCTAAGAGCTTAAAAAAATTACCTTTTTGTGTTTGATAACAAATCTTGCCTAATTATTACCCAGTCATGCCTGGTCACATTTTTACTTTTTTCATGTTGTCTGAAAGGACAATTCACAATCAGGTCTTTTATAAAAAAAATTACACAACTATTAATATATTAAAAAGTATATATAAACAAACAATCTATTGAATCTAGAACTCAAGTGGTCTGGAAATCTCTCTTTGTGTTGCAGCTTGAAAACACACAATATTAATTACATAAATATCTGATGACATCAACATATTATATTCACAAAGTAATAAGTCAATATTAGAACAAGGAAATTCACAGAGCAACTGCAAGAGAAACAATAAATGACGCTTGTTAAACCAGCAAACAACTTGTAAATTATGATGATAATTGAGTACGATTTGTCCAAAATAGATCCTGTCACAGATGCCATGTTATTTAGCAAAATAAACATTTATGTAGCTTCACTTCTGAACAGTAGATCATCTCTAATTATTTTAATAACAAACATTCATTAACTATCAGTGAATTAATTGTTTATTATAACTCAACATAGTGGGATTTATTTACTAAGCCCTGAATTGTAGTGAACTGAAAAACAAATGGGCCACATTTAGTCTAAAATAGGCCAGCTGTGACTATGACTGAGTTGGAAAATTTAAAAAATGTGAAATAAAGGAAATATATGTGTATAATAATGTACCTTATTTATACCATCAAATGCTCAATTTAATTATTCGCAATGACCCCAAAAAAATACAAAAATAATAAATAACATAGGATAGTCCTGTATGTTATAATGAAACAAAAATGACACTCACAATATTTAGAGTAAAGTAGATCTGGCCCTGAGAACAGTGTGTCAAGTGTCTTTAAGCATCGACTACATTTCTTGATTCCCAGGGTCACGTTCTTATAAGAAAGATCCTTATTTGATATACATGTAGAATAATACTAATAGTATAATCCTTTTAACATATCTAATCACACACAAAAGAATACTCATATGTACATAGCAGCGCTGTATTACTAAGAGATGATACCTGACTGCTGTCTAGATGTCTGTACCACCCACCCAATGCCCCCATTTCCCCAATAACACACAGAGACCGTAATTACGTTGGGTAAGGGCATCGGCCACAGCTTTTATTTATTCATTTCCATGCCAGCAACATAATCATACTGTCAGCTGTTGGGGTGATTGCCCAACAGACAGGTCTATCCCCACAAACCATGAGTCCTGAGCAGCCTGCCTCCGCCATCAGCTCCCAACAGGCTGCGACTCCCCAAGCCTCCTCGGCAACTTCACCACTTCTGCCTGCGCTGGCCAGGACTCCCGCCACCGCGATGACGACTTCCCCTCACGCCTCCTGCCGTCATCGCGCCCCCCGCCGACAGCGCAGCCTCAATCCCTGCAAGCCCGTGTTCAGGATGTCTAACCCTATTTCTATGGACCCCATCCTTTCTCATCAAATTCTGGTTCTCTCCTTCCAGCTCCACGTGTCGGATGACCACTCCTCCTAACCGCCGTACAAACTTCCCCACAGCAATGTTCAGCTTGCGCTGGCTCTTCTCCAAACCGCGAGAGTGCGGAAGCGCGCCCCAACACGGCCTGGAAACCGCCTCCGACCAAACCAAGGTCATGTCGCCTAGCTGCCCAGTACACATAGGAATGCCCTATAATCCACACGTACCGGGGCCGACCACCTACAACGAGAAGAGGGTTACAGCATATGAGGTCGGACATAAGACTTAAAACGCCCCGACCCCCATCTTCCAATCCGTTGAATTCCCGCAGCTGAGTACCCCAACACACTAGCCTGGGTAGCCGCCCCGATCCGAAAGGAATGGGCCGAAAACCCGTGACCATCCATCCCACTCGCAACCAACGCTTTCTTCAGCATCGCCGAGAACTGATACCGGGTTAGAGGAGACCCGTCCATGTGAGCTAACAAAGGGCCTCCCCGCTCCGGGCGCACCTCCAGAAAAGCGTGGAAGGCCCCAACCGGACAGACTTCGTCCCTCGTGGCCCCCAAACGAACCCGGGCCGCCTGGTCCGTCTTAGATCGTCGCACAAAAATGTCGACGGTTGAAGGAGACCATCGCACATCCGACAATGCCAACGGCGAGGCCTTCCCCTTGCTCGGGGCCACCAACTCGCCGATACGAAAGGCACCAAAAAAGCAGACCGAGAAGGCCATGCGAAACAACTTCGACACGTACTCCGAACCACAGACCGACGGTAGCACTAACATAATCCGCCGCAACATGTCAGCCAAAATTGGACGACGACCATCCGGGCGACGCCTCAGCCGCCAACCCTTGACCACCCTCTGAATCCCATATTCCTTAGTAACATCCTGCCAGCCCATAAAACTAAACAAGAACGACAGGGCAGCCAACGCCTTCTCCGCAGCAGCGCAGGAACTACCTCCCCTGGCCAAGTCATCCAGCATCACGAGAGTCCTCTCCGCAACGACCCGAGTCCGTGGATACATCCCCGTCCCGTGCAGACGACAGCCACTGCCTCCACACTGCCCGGTATGCCTTCCAGGAAGACTCCGCCAAGGAATCCGATACCAAGCCCATCAGACCTCGAAATCGAGCTTCCATAAGGAGTCTGGACACCGCAGACCGGTCCGCTGCGCCTCTGGCGCTGCCTCGCGAAACCGCTCCCACTGCAAGCGAGACAATGCATCAGCCACCACGTTCTGAACACCCGGGACATGCTGCGCCCGCACCCAAATATTAAACTTAAGACTAAGGAGCACGAGGTGACGGAGAAGCGCCAAAACAGGTGGAGACGAGGACGACGAACGGGCAATCACATGAACCACACTCATGTTGTCCGTGTGAAAGACCACCGTGTGATTTCTCAGATCCTCGCCCCACAGTTCCAGCGCGACCACTATCGGAAACAGTTCCAAAAAGGTCAAATTCTTCCTCAATAAGGAAGACCGCCAATCCTGCGGCCACTCCCCCGCGCACCACTGACCCCGAAAATACGCTCCAAAACCAACGGACCCCAAGGCGTCGGTAAAGAGATCCAACGCGGCGTTGGAGGTGGCCTCCCTCAACCAGCAAGAGTGCCCGTTGTAACTACGTAGGAAGGAGCTCCACACCGCCAGATCCGACCGGAGGCGCCTCGTGATCCGAATGTAATGGAAGGGTTCCCTCACCCCTGCCGTGGACAAAGACAATCTGCGACAAAATGCCCGACCCATCGGTAACACTCGACATGCGAAAACCAAGTGCCCCAAAAGGCCCTGCATCTGCCGCAACTGAACCTTCTTGGAACCTTTGACCAAGTCCACTAGCCGAAGCAACCCCTCCAACTTCTCCTCAGGAAGCCGGAAAACCATGCTCTCAGTATCGATCTCGATACCCAAGAACGAAAGAACCAACACCGGGCCGACCGTCTTTTGTTCGGAAACTGGAACACCGAACTCCGACGCTACCCGCCGGAACGCCTGAAGCAACGCCATACAATCCTGGGAACCCGACGGACCGACAAACAAAAAATCGTCCAAGTAATGGGTCAAGGACCCCAAACCCGAAACTCTAGACGTGACCCACTCCAAAAAGGAAGAAAACAGTTCGAAATAAGAACAAGATATAGCGCAACCCATGGGCATGCACATATCATAATAGAAGCAACCGTTCGCGAAACACCCCAACAAATGAAAACAATCCGGATGAACCGGCAACAAACGAAAGGCCGATTCAATATCCGATTTTGCCAACAAAGCCCCACGACCGGCCTGCCGCAGGAGGAGCAAGGCCGAGTCGAAGGACGCATAACGCACCCGACACGCATCCCTGTCAATGTCATCGTTGACTGACGCCCCCGAAGGGTACGAGAGATGGTGAATCAACCGAAAAGTTCCCGGGTCTTTTTTGGGTACCAGACCCAATGGAGACACTCTCAAGTTGTGGAACGGGGGGGAATCAAAGGGACCGGCCATGCAGCCCCGTTGAATCTCTGCCTCCAGCTTTTCTTGCAATAAACCCTCCCTACCCCGCGTGGACCGAAGATTGTCAGCAAACCGGCCCTCATCCGACAACACAAAGGGAATCCAGAAACCCATTGTAAAACTGTCGAACAAAAGGCTTGCGACGTCCCTCTTAGGATACCTGCTTAACCAGGGACGCATCTTTTCCACGCTCACCGGCGTCCTCGCCGCGAGGAACGTCGTCCCTACCAGAGCCCTTGGCGGCAGACGGTCTGCCCTTCTTGAAACAACGGAGAGCCGGGTGGGCTCCCCCACAATGGGCACACTTGTGCCGGAATCTACAAGAGCCAAACCACTTACAGTGGCTCTCGTTGAAGAGCCAACAAACTCCCTTCCGCTGACCTGCCGACGTCCCCATGGGGACGCCGGCGACCCCTGAAAAGGGGGAGGGTCTACATGGGGTCATCAGTAGCAGCCACAGGCTGCCGCCCTGCACCCCGAAGCCCATCCCCGGACACGCCGCCATCTTCTGGCGGAATTGCTGGTCGTATTTGAAACAGCATTGTCCCCCATACACTTTGTAAGCGCCCCAAATTAAATCCAAATAACCAAATAACGAAGGGGCCCTCTCTGGGAACCGACGCACTAGCACGCTAGCAAAGATATTAAATCCCTGCAGCCAGTTACCAAAAGTACGCGGGATAGCCTTACCCTTCTCCCCGTCCAGTTGTTCACCACAACGCGGTCTGTCCACGGACTCCTTGTCCGGCGGAACGAGAGAAAGAAGATCCACATACTCACCCCGAATAATCTTCTCCTGCACCTCAGCAGGCACATGTAAACCTAAAGGGGCCAGCTCGCACCCCGGGAGAAAGGAACCAACCCCCATCCCCTGACCCCTCAAACCATCCGTCCCACCTGTACTCTGAACCCCGAGACCACTGCCCCTGGCTTGACCCTCCACTAAAAGCCTCAGCAGGTGCAACACCTCACTATCCTGACCTGATCCCCCTGCTGAACCCCAGGCGCCAGCGCATGCCAACTCACCGAATGAGGGAAGGCGCAGGGGCCGATCTCCATCACCGTCACGCTCCTCCTCGGACTCCTCCTCCTCACCGGAATCACCCTGGAGCCTCCCAGCTCCCAGGGGGGCTGCAACCGACACAGCCTCCCGACCGCCGGCATCCTGGCAGCCCTGCAATCTTGGGGCTGCTGCCTGATCCGCAGCACCCCGTGAACTGGCCGGTCCTGGGGACTCCCATCTCCTTGGGGCTGCTGTGCCCCAAGCACAGCACCCCTATTTCCGGTCTCTTCAGCCGGCGCCGGCCATCCACGAGCGCCCGGCCTCCTGATTTCAGCGCGGGCACCCACTTCCGGGTTTTGCCTGTCGCCGGCAGATGATGTCATATCCGGCGCGCCGGGGGGGGGGACCTAAGGCTCGGCTCCACGTCCCCAGCCACTCCAGTCCGCCGGCGCCTGCGGCCCTCTCGCTCACCTCTCACCGGGCTGGGAGATAGCCGCGACGGCGGCCTTGAACGCCTTGAACGCCTGGCCCGCCGCCCTTCTTCCACAGGCCTCGCCTCTTCACCCGGACACCTTCCATGCCGGCCAACACCGCTGCCAACGAGCCTGCACCATGTGCAGCCCGGTAAGCCTGCAACAGGGCCACCAACGATTCCTGGGAAACGTCCATCAGATAATCAGGAATACAGGTAAGTGAAAATCTGAATAATAATAGCTTATAGGACAGATGAAAGACAGATGAAAGTCAGGATCCCTGCACTTCCAAAGCTGACTGGTAAATCCCCTCCCCTAACTGTCCTTATAACTGTCTTCCATCTTGGCAACTATGTATACATTTATACCCCTCCCCTCCACTACTCCTTCAAGACTCCTTATCCTAGCCGCAGTCATGTTCCCCCTTCATTGTCAGTCCAGGGAGGTGTCTTTCCACCATGTGATAAAATTGGAACTCCAGACATAGAGTTTCAGAAGAAATAGTTTTATTACAAAATAAAAAGCTTGGTAAATATGCCAAACAAAATCTTAAAAGATATGTCTTATTGCTGCAATGCCCTACAAAACCATTTTGCTGTAGTAAAGCGGTTTTGTCAATCGGTGAGATCCAGTTGTTAAAACTCCTATTTGTCTCTATTCATATCAACGTCACTGTTCCCAAATCCACCTTTCAATTAGTGTCAAACTGTAAACCATGTGAATCCATCAATTCCCGCATTTCAAGTATTTTTTCTAGAAGTTTAAGTATTTCTTGATCATACACATTCATATGCATACACATTCGTATTTACAAGTACTTACATTCATATACATACGTGCATACATGCATTTACATATACTCACATGGACACATATACACAGACACTTACTACGCCACTGCTCACAATTATTTGCTAACGCAGAAACTGGGAGTTAATACGGATTATAGTGGTTCATTAATGGGAATTAGCTATTTAGTTTTATCTAGACTGTTGTTTAGGTTTCTGTTTAACCAATCCAGTACCAGAATAGTTTATGCGCTATGTGTTGGAGGACTTACTGTGTGCTCTATGGTCTGTGAGGTGATACAGAGGACATTTGTTGTGTTGTCTTTCTTCTCTTGCTCTGCAGTAATTTTTCCTTTCAGATTGTTAATTATTCAGGGCTCAGGCACAGTGGGAAGAAATGGGAATGATAAATATTACTATATCTGCAGAGGAATGGCACTCCCATGCTTTTCATGATAGAAGTCCTGCCTTTACAAAAAAAAATGTAATTGTATTTTTTAAAATTCTTTATTTTCATGAGATCAAAAAATAAACAGTCATACATGTATTACCACGACAGTGTCACATCATGCCATGTTCTGCGGAGATGTCTGGCTTTGGCTTCTGGTATCCAGTACTCTTTTTGCTGTCCTTGATTGGTTTTTCTGGTCTATGTCTGGTTTTCTTTGTTGATGGGTTTCTGGGTTCATTCTTATATTCTGTCCCTGGATTTCCCAGTCTCTTGGATTCACTTAAATATTTGTTTTATGTTGCCACACCTGTTTGTTTTCCACTTTCCCTTTGTTTCAGCCTGGACCTGCAGCAGTGTTTCAAGCCTCTGCCTTTTCTTGCAGGTAAGTGCTATTGTGGTTTAGTGTGGTTGTTTTAGCATACATTAGGCAGTGTAGGACCCACCAGATATGGGGTATATTGGCGTTGTGGCAGGCTTATGCAATGTATGATCATATAATGTGACTAAATCCCCATACTTTTCATATATAGTGCTTAGTTATGTCTCCTCTTATTTTACCTTGTATCTCTTGTCTTGTTTTATTTTATCTTGTAATCCCAGTCCATGTACAGTCCTGTCCAGTCATGCCCATGTTATGTTCTTGTTTTTCCTTATGTCTTGTGTACATGTTCTGGGTTCTGCTTTCTGTCCTGCTCTGGTTCTGTGTTCTCCTAGTTTTGTCTTGTTTTCATGTATGGTGCCTATCTCTAGCCTTGCCTTGTTTCTGTACTGGAGACATCCCTGCTGCAGAGCCTCCCTATTCAGCTCCTGGGAGGTCTGCTTATTTCCATGCTCCTAGTTCCTGTGATCCGCATTAGCTGAATCAGGGTTCTGGTATGTGGCTGCACAAACGCTGGTGCTCAACACCAGGGGGTGTGCGGTTACCCTGCACCAGGCCCTGATAATCCACTTCCACGCTGAAGACTCCAACCTCTCAGAGGTCCCGGTTTCCGTACCGCCACCCGTGACAGACAGTAGATACACACACACACACACACACACTTGGAA